AACAGAGGAAGAGGAAGGCCTCCTCTGCGTTGGAAAGACCAGGTGGAGAAGGACTTGGCTTCACTTGGCATTTTCAATTGGCGTCAGTTAGCACAGAAGAGAAATGACTGGCGTGCTGTTTTGGACTCGGCCAAAATCGCTTAGGCGGTTACAGCGCCAAATAAGAAGAAGAAGAAGAATAATAATAAGAAGCAAAGGTGTTAAACCAAATAGCATTTTTTAACAGTATTTGCTTGACTGATAACGATTTAAGCCAAATAAAATAAAAGGTCAATTTATATCTCACAAATAGCTGTAAGGAGTAGATATACTGTATCGCCGTTTAAGGTGCAAAACCGCACAACCGACATTTGCTACCAAAAAGTGGAACTTTATCTCTTATCCATTCGTTCTGAAATATACTAGCCAGAAATGCAATTGCTTCATACAAAAAAAAAACTATTTTGAAATATGAGTGTTTTTACTCTCTAAAAAAATAATTTATGCAACCGCACATACGCGGTTTTGCATTTTGTTGATACGTGCTTTTGTACTTTAAACGACGATATATACATACATATGTACGTACATTGCAAATTAAAAACTTACGGCAGTTGATGTGCAGCGTTTGTAGGCAGGAGAGCAGGAGTGCTGTGGCGAGTAAGCGTTTCAAAGGCTGTGAGGTTGTGAGCCGTACCAGCTGTGAAATTGGTGGAAGCGGAGGCGATTTGGGCATTTTGTTTTTTGTTGTTGATGTGCGCATTGTTAACATTATTGTTGTTGTACTAAAATTTACGTTGGCCATGCATTTAAGTACAAACTACTACTATGCAGCTGAGCTCATTTTTGTTTTCTCTCTAAACACTATTGATCATTGGCTGCGTATGCAGTTTGCAACGAAATTGATTGATGATGATGATACCAATAATGATTTATGTAAATAGTAAAACTGCACATACATACACATGTAAATGCATAAAATGCAAAATTTAACACCAATATAAATTCACATCACACAATGTCTAATGATATTACAATGGCAAGCAATTTATGGTTTCGTTCGTATTGAGCAAATGTTTGCATTTTGTTGTATTTATGTATGTATGTATGTATGTATGTATGTATGTACAAATATGATGCACGCGTATTTCACATAATTAGCACTTTTGACACATACAGCACTCGCAGATATCGACACTATAGATTAGGCTTTATGCAGATTTTGAACACTCGAATTATGCCAACACTTTTGATGAAGGGTGTTGTTGTATAAAAGTTATTCTATCGTCCTTGATTGTATTTATGTATGTTATGTTCGGGTGTTTGCGGTCAGTTTATAATTTTCAGTGATTTTGCAAATATTTTACATAAATTCCACAGGCAATTACCCTCTAGCTGTTTAGCTGATGTTGCATGATTACAAACACTTAAGGATGAATTTAATGTTTACACTGCTTAGCAAAATTACAAACACACAATATGTTTACTTATGTATGTATGTAAGTAGATACATATATGAATGTATCTTTTGCTGTGTTTAAGTGAATATATTTTTACATGTTTTTTTTTTTTTTTATTAATATTCACAATGTTTTGCAAGCTATATTTTTTTGTTATTTCTTTTACAAAAATTTGGTTCATGCTATAAACAAGACCACATGAATCAGAGTTTCAAACTGTATACAAAATTAAGAAAAATTTAACGTTTATAGTTTTATAGCCCATTGAATTTTAGTATAACAATAAGTTTGTTCCATAAGCTACTCGAAGTTTATTTGATATACGCTCACAGTTTGAACTTTGCTCGAGTTTTTCTACAAGTAGCTTAGAAGTGGCTAAGAAATCGCGTTGAGTTTTAATATTTTTTTTTTTTTGCTGACGGCTCACAGTGTTTCGACTATATGGGGGCAGATAGAAAAAAGTCATGCTGACAGTTGATTTTCTTAATTTTTGATTTTCAGCTTCTGTTTGCATAGTTTCGCGAAAAGAATTTTTCGAACAATGAAAAAATCTGACCAAATATTGGGAATAAAGCGAGTATTTACATATAAGTCATTTTATAGTATAACATTTGTTTTTCATGAGAGTGGAAAGCAGGAAACACTAGTAATTTTTAGCAAAAAAAAAAAAACCGACTTAAAAAAAATTATATATATATATATATATTTCATGATCCAATGATCGGATCTAAAACAGATTAGTATGGGACCACCGCTGAGACACTACCTTTCCGATGCATCAAGAATTATCGAAATCGAATCTTCCCCATCTTTTATATTTAGGTTTTTCTAACAAAAGAGAGAGTACAAACAAAATTTCATTGAAATCGGATTAAATTTAATGTTTCCGCCCACAAGAGTGGAGGGCGTGGCAATTATCCCATATTTACCAAATTTTACAATTCTCTATTCCTAAGTAAAACTAGAGCACAAGCTAAGTTTCCTGCCTCCATATAGTCGAAACACTGTGGGGCTCTAGGCATTTTTCTCCATACAAGGTATGAGCGAATTTTTATTTATTTATTTTTTTTTCATATGGAAGAAAATACGTAGAGCTGTCAGCAAAAAAATTATTCAAAATCAACGCAGTTTTCGAGCCACTTCAAACTTGTGCACTGTTATTGAACGGGCTATAAAACTGCATACCACAAATTTTTGAGAAAAGCTGAGTACAAAGTTTAAAATTTGAATGAAAATTCGTTGAATTTTCCTTAATTTTATTTACAATTTGATGCTTTGATTTATATGGGTTTGTTTATAACATGAACCATATTTTTGTGTACAAAGATAACAAAAAATTATAGCTTGCAAAATATTGTGAATATTTAAAAAACAAGTGTGTTCGCCGATATAATATAGTGAGCGTAAGTATGTATGTACATTAGGGTGGTAAAAAAGAGGAAAATCTGAATTTTAATACTCTCATCCCCTAGGATTGTTATATGCCGAAAAAACATACCCCTGTTTTTTATTTATCTTAAAATCAAAAATGTTTAGAGGTCGCTCAAAGCGCTCAAAGTTTTCTATGTATTTTATATGGGGAAAAAACAGTTTTTTGTAGAAATGGTTCTTTAAAATCAATATTTTTCTATCGGAAAACTTTGTTTCGCTTTAGGAATACACACAATTGAATTGTACATTGAAGAAACCAGTAAAATCTTCGACGAAGAAAATTCTCAAAAATCAACCGTAATTTTTAGCCACTTGAAACTAGTACTTTATTCTACTAAAATTCAATGGGCAACGAAACTGCATACCTTTATAGGAAATCTAATTAGAGGAGCTCGTAATTTTTACGAAAGTTTGTTGATTTTTTTTTCAATATTGCACAAAGTTTTAAACTAGGATTTTCACGGGTTATGTTAAAGAATGAACTATATTTTTTATAAACAAATAACCAAAATTAAATTACAAAAAAATAATATGTTAAAACTTGTCAAATTATGGTGCGGCTATAATTTTTTCGACCACTTTATGTATATTGATTAAAGTACTGCAAAATTCAACATTTTCTGTAAAAATATTATTTTCATCTCAAACATACTGTTTTGGCATGTTATTGCTGCATAGCTAAGCTGTTGTTCGCTGTTGTGTTTCTGCAACATATTTTTAATACTGATTGATCCCGCCTTATATGCAAATATATATAGATTTTTAATTAGACAAGTATTTAATGAATTTTACTATTACTCAGTATTAAAATAAAATAAAATTATTGCGAAAGATATCGAGCCTTAACCGCGAAAATAACATAAGCGACATATTTTTTTTTTTCAAAATTGAATTTAGATGCAGTTTTTGATGAATTTAATTAACTCATTATTCTCTAGCCATTTACGGCAGTAAGGAACCAGTGTGATATTTATAGCGCGATTCTGTGCACTTGATAAATTAAAATTTTTTATAATTTATAAATTTTTTATTATTTATCAAGAATGGGAATTCTAGCACAGAAATCAAAATCTTGATAAATTATCAAGATTGAAAATGCTATTGACAAGCGTTTACAAATTTAAATTTCATATGAAAATTATAAATTTTGTTTACTAAAAAATTTTTTTCTACCATTTAAATACTGCATGTGCCGGCATTTCAACCGGCTACGATGTTTTTTTTTTAATTCTGTTTAAAAAGTTTGAAACTTTGATGCAATTTCGTTGAAGTTCGTTGATTTTTTCTAAAATACTTGATATAAAAAAAAATTGACAATTCGAACCGAATCGAACTACGTTTCGGGGACACCCATAAAACGGCACACGTTTTTTCTAAGCGGTTCGAACCACTGAACCGAATCGCATCGATTTTTGACCAGTTTGCAGCCTGGGTGTTATCAGAGAAAAATTCGAAGCCCGAGAAATGTTTCTTTGTGTTTCAGACGAACGGCAAAATGTAAGTAAATACTCTTTTAAAAAAACATGTGTAAAATTTTTCTACTTCATCATCGCACTCTGTAATTTTTTTAATCTTAAAAATGGCCAAAATTACCGAAAAACTTTTAATTTTTTGGATGTAGGACCGACCAATGGAATTTTTAACGATCTTTTCACCGGCATACCACAGGTACATACAATCACGGGAACAAAAATAACGGTATGCATATCGTCGTCTAAAGTACAANTCTAAAGTACAAAACCGTGTAGAGAGTAAAAACACTCATATTTCAAAATGGTTATTTTTTTATAAAGAAATCGCATTTCTGCCTAGTATATTTCAGGACGAATGGATAGGATTGGATAAGGAATCCAATTTTTGGCAGCAAATATTAGTTACGCGGTTTTGCAGAACGACGATACGCGGTTTTGTACTTGAAACGACAATATGTAATTACTGAAGTTCTGAGGAATTCGATGAATAACTTCGCGCAATTTTGTTATTAATCATTTTTATTTAATTTTTCCCAACAATTATTTTATTTTTTTTTTTTATTTTGTTTACATATATGCACATATGTATGTTTGTACATATGTATGTATGCATTTGTATTTCATTATTTAATTTTTAGAACTCATTTAAAGAGCCGTACATTTTTGAAACTTTTTTTTTTCACAACACGTCTATAGTTATGTATGCACATATCTTTCCTTATTAATTTGAATTAACCCGTTCATTTTTCCAAATATTTATTTAGCACTTAAAATTCTTTATTTTACAATATTTATTCGAAGTTTCTACAAAGAGATTAGTAGTTCCGTTCAGCAATATATTCTTTCTTTCTCTTCATACTGAGTGTATTGAATTCCCATCCTTCAATTATATTTTTTCATTGCAAGAAAAGTAATATTTCACTACAGACCCGCTTTCCGCCGGATTCACTTGTTAAATGTTGCGCTTTTAACTCGCAAATAAAATGTGAAATATACGAATACAAATTTTCAAGTTGACAATTCAAATCACATCAAATCAAATGCTCGCGCGCACCCGGCTTAACCGTCAAACGCAAATCCAACCTAAACACTTAGCTCACACGCTCACTTTCATTAGCCACAAATCGCGCTCACTTTCAGCAACAAATACAATATTAACACACACATACATACATACAGTGTCGGGAACTTGAGTAGCACCGTCTTTTGATCATCAGTATTGACAGTTTTTTTTTGGTTTAATATGCATAAATTTTTTGTAAAAAGATAGCATTTTCTATAATAAAAACCACGTAAAACCGAATTTTTAAACTTTGTACAACATTTAGAGCATTTTAAAAAATTTTCATGAAAATTTGAAACATATAAACTTT